CAGTCTTGTACCTCTGTAGCTTTTTGGACAAGGGGAGCCCTAATCCAGAATGTATATACTCATTAACATTGCAAGCTGAAAAAGACTTTAAGCTTCTCCCGGATTCTAGCACACTTCCGATATATCAGTTGCAGCTCCCAAACTGCTTTACGATGTTTTCTCTGACATAATGAAGCCTTTGGCCATCACTGCTACTTTGAAAATCAAAGCCTTTTGGTCTCTAATGGAATGTTTATAAAAATACTCCATTTTGAAATTTGCTCAGGAAAAGGAAGTATGGTAAATGATGTTAGAATTCCCTCCGGCTTGCCTTGGCATTGATTCATTTAATGTTATGTACTCTGGAAATATCTGGAATTAGTGTGAATAAGAGTATTAAAACCCAAAGTTAAATAAGCTCTTATCTTCATTGTCTTCTTTTATGGAAGTATAGCATCAGATATGCAGCCCTAATTGTTATTTCTATATAACTTGATAATTTCCCTTTGCCAAATCTAATACAGTAATCAAGGGTAAGCTTAAAATTCCTAATGGCTATGTCAAAAGTCTCATATGTTTCCATTCTTTTGGTGAGGTTAAAGTGGCAGGTTTGTTTGTTTTTTTTTAAGATTTTATTTATTTGATAGAGAAGAGAGCCTGAGCGGGGGGCGGGGGGGAGGGAGGGGAAGGGAGAGGGAGAAGCAGGCTCCTCACTGAGCAGGGAGCCAGGACTCAGGGATTGATTCAGGACCCTGGAATCATGACCTGTGCTGAAGGCAGATGCTTAACTGAATGAGCCACCCAGGTGTCCTAAGTGGCAGTTTTTTTTAGAAGGAGCAGTATAAGATGGCAAGCCTGTAGTAAGAAGAAGAAAAAAAGCCACAGAACTATACTCTGAATATGCTGTTCTCTGTTGTTTTCCTTGGTGTCAGTGGAAAAAAAAAAAAAAAAGAAGAAAAACAGTGAAATGTATGAAACATCCAGTTTAGTAATATAGTGATTCAGAATACTCAGATGTAAAAGGGACCCAAGGACCTTTGGCTTATCCTGTGCTGTTGGTTCTGTCTTGATTAAGGCACTGATGCATCTTAAAGTAAGAAAATAACATTTATTCAAGAAGTATTTAATGAGGACTGCTGTATACCAGGAATTGTTCTAGGGAGCTAGCAGTGAATGTAAGATGGTCAGACTCCCTGCTTTCCTGGAGCTTATACTCGAATGGGGGAGAGAGAGACAAAAAATTACATGGATTGATTGATTAATGGATCAGTTCCATGGCTTTCACTATGCATTTCTGTTCATTTGCCCACCAGCACAGGCCTCTTACTAGCATGGTAAAAAGGTCTGATCACTCAGAGTATTACAGACTTGTAAAGTATTGAAAGGGGACTTTGGGGAATTGAGGACAGTGACCTTTTAGAAAACAGCCAGCTCCATCAGTGACTTCTGCTTGCTGTCCCTGTCATATGTGCTCCTTTGCTGGCCTTTGTTGTTAGTTCTCATGGCACTTCAGCTTTCTCTCTGAAGTAACACACAATACACTGTTGGGGCTGTCATTTTGACTTCAACTCAAAACCATTTACTAACTTCTTTTAAAAACATAATTAAAAAAATAAACATAGGGGCAAATGTAGCATTTTAAAGTGATGTTTGAAATTCCAGGTTAAAACCTTCTAATAAAATGCAGCTAATATTTTGGGAAACATTTCTTATTTGTCACTAGTCTTTCTTTATGTAAGCGTCTGAGTTCCCAAGGACATCCTTTGGTAATAGCTGACTTTCCTATCTAGTAGCATTGTTTGACTTTAAATTGTTTGATTTGGGGGCACCTGGGTGGCTCAGTCAGTTGAGCGTCCACCTCTTAATTTCAGCTCAGGTCATGATCTCAGGGTTGTGGGATTGAGCCTCATATTGGTCTCCCCGCTCAGCAGGGAGTCTGCTTATCTCTCTCTCTGCCCTTCCCCCTGCTTGTGCTGTCTCTCTCTCTGTCTCTCTCTAAAATAAATCTTTAAAAAATTGTTTGAGGGGTGCCTGGGTGGCTCAGTCGTTAAGCGTCTGCCTTCGGCTCAGGTCATGATCCCAGGGTCCTGGGATCCAGCCCTGCATCCGGCTCCCTGCTCCACAGGAAGCCTGCTTCTTCCTCTCCCACTCCCCCTGCTTGTGTTCCCTCTCTCGCTGTGTCTCTCTCTGTCAAA